ATGGACTACCCAACACTGAAAGAACCATTGAAATCGGACCAGTAGTTCCAGAGATTAGCGCGTTTAAACAAACAAACTCTGATATTAGTATAGATATCTGGTACTTGGAAAAAAACGATAAAGGTGAAAAAAGAAAAATCTGAAATCAACCTTATGACCCACAAAATAAAATATTTTTACCAGTCATTGGCCAGAGTGTTACTTCGTTTTGTATTAATCGAACTAATTTAAAATAAGATCTCACGCTTCAAGTGAGGCAATATTTACCGAGACGGATTTTACCCGCTGACCTGTTATCTATAGAATTGTTGATCGAAGCCTTTAGATATCTTTTTGCTAATAAATAAAAATGTAATAAAATAAAATATAAATTCCTGTTGAGATCACGGTTAAGTTCAAATTTAGATAAAATAAAACCATTAACTGCTTAAAACAAATTTGAAAAAGCAATTATCTTAATTTTTTCAGAGGCAAACCAACTGAAATTTTACCAGTTACTAGCTCCTAATTCTAATTATAATCATCATTGTAATTTAATGATTTTGGTCTTAATCAGAATAGTTTTTTTAGTCAATGCTCATTAATTTTGCTAGTAAAGTCAACAGTTATTCAACAGTTTAAAGTGAAAACCTTTACCCGTAGATTCACTGGAGTAGGACTATTTAGAACGGTAGGACAAGGAAAAACTAATACCCATGGACCCACCAGGGGAACATGTTGGTGGGACCAGGAGTAATAACCACATTTCCTTAGTCTCAAACATATGCATAATGACTTTAAAGATAACGGAATTGTATCAGAGTTATATGAAATTTATAACAAATTCAAATAGTAACAGTCGATCATTTAGTGATTGTGTTCATGGGGAAGAAAATGGAGGAGGCCTTCACCCTTTTAGGGTATTAGTATACAAGATTAACAAATTTTGTAAGGTAGATCAAATATTAGGAGCTTGGGAGGAGTCGCAGAATGTTTTTGGAGTATTCTGTCACTTGTATAAAGCTTTTGATTGCGTTGATCATCAGATGCTGGTGATGAAATTGAGCCACTACGGAGTCAAAGGCGCAGCCCAAAAATTGCTATTGTAGTATTTCAGTTCTAGAGTTCAGACTAAAGAGGCAAATGGTGTCAAGTCATCTGGATCTCATGTGTCAATGGGCGTTCCCCATGGTTCTATTTTAGGTCCGTTCGTATTTTTACTGTATATAGCAATTTGCCATTTTTTGTGGAGAAATTCTGTGAGATTGATTGTATTGTTTGCTGATGACACATCTTTATAATTTAGGGAACAAGAATAACTATGACGACGTAAATGCTGCTCTCTCACAAGTTTTTTGCATTGTTTTAATCTAAATTATTTAAAACTAAATGATAATAAAACTAAACACATAAAATTGGCTTTACCAAATGTTAGAAGCAAACCAGTTGAAATTAAACTTAATAATGAAAAGCTAGCTTTAGTTGAATCTAAGTTATTTTTACATATAACTATTGACATAAAATTGGAATGGAATCCTCATTTTTCACTTTTAGCTGGTAAACTTAGTTCAGCGGCGTATGCCATACGAAATATGAAGCAACTTTCTGATGTAGACACTGCTAGGACTGTATACTTCAGTTACCTTCATAATTGTATCCTATGGCATTATTCTCTAGTACATTTGCAGTGCACATTTCAATGTACGTTTTACTATTTTTTATTGTATTTCATGATTGAAAAACAAAAAAAAATGAAAAAAAATAAAAAATAAATAGTTTTTTTTTTTTTTTCATGATTGAAAAAAAAATAGTAAAAACATACATTGAAATGTGCACTGCACATGTGTACGAACTGCCCAAAACCGCTCTATTGGATTTTTCATACCTGCGCAATTTATAACTTGAAAACGGTAAGTAATACAAAAAAATTGTTTATACAAAAGTTGTTGGTAATTATGTACGAAACAACTTTGCCATTTAAAGTTTTCCATTAAAATGATATTTTCAGGGTGAAAAAGTGAAAAAACACTTTTTTGAGACTTTAGCGCCACCTACAATGCGCATTTTTTGTTGTACGAGATTGCAACAATGACATAAATTGTAGTACTCAACGCCGTCTACAATTATGGTAAAAAAAAAAGTTTCTAAAATGCATACAAAACAAGAAAAATGCGTTTCAAAAAATTTTTGAGTTTTTCAAAAAACGCGTACGAGTTGAACATGCCCATCGCCGAGGTGGCTTACTGACGTCATTTGGCAACAGAAAAAACAAGACTTACCCTTTAGGTTTTTTTTTCACCACTGAACCTACAGATTGCCTGTACTAGCCGTAGATTTGCGAAGCTAGGGCGTAGCTTTCGACTTTTACATGTCATTGTAAAAGCCTAAACGGAATAAATGAATATTGAATTTTGAATATGGTAAATAAAAGGTAAACTTTTAGTGATGGATATGAAATCATTTCGGGTTGTTCAATAGTTTGGGATAGTTTCACATACGGATATTATATTTATGTGAATGTCACAGGAAAATTATATGTGTGTAATGTATTGAAGGAATGTTCATATTTGGATATCCAAACAATTCTAAATAAAAGGTTTTTTATTTTATTTATTTATTGACAGTCACTCACTTTCAGTAATGGTTACGAACTCCCATTACATCTCTGATCTGACCTCTAATTTACCCTGATATTCTTAAAAGATTTTTAGTATGAACGCATTACATACAATTAACCTTCCAGAAGAAATTTACAAAAAACAGTTTAAACCATGTCTAAATTCAGTATGGCTTAGAAGTTAATGACTTTCATTTACACAATTTAGAGATGGTAAAAATGAGTTATGTTATCTAAAAAATAAAAATAAAAAAAATCCAACACACACCAATTAGCCTAGCCCCAAAGTAAGCACTGTAAGGCTTGTGTTATGGGATACTAGGGTAACAGATAGAATACATATACAGTACATATATAAGTATATTTATATAGAAATACATATTAAACATCCATGACTGCAGTACATATGCTCGTATTCATCACACAAACATCTGCCCCAACCGGGAAACCCGACCAAATAAACCACTCGACCATGGAGGTCGTCATATATATGACAATAAGTCCTCATTTTAAGCGACTTCAAAAAAGGAGGAGGTTCTATGTTCAACTGCATATTTTTATTTAAATTTATGTTCACTGATATCTCCGTCAATTGTGGACCGATTTCCAAAATTCTTTTTTTATTTGAAAGAGTGCACTTCCTAGTTGGTCCCATTGGTACCAAGTCGGGATCTGATAATGGAATCCAGGGAAATAGGTATAATGTGTCTAAAAAAATTATACAAAAGAATAGCCAACCTACATGGGAATATTAAAGGTCTCTAATTTGGAACACTGCATGTGATGTCACAGTTGATATCAACACTTACTAGGTTACATTAAAGGTTAGGTGTGTGCACACACTACAAACTCACACTAGGTATCATTGTATTTGACATATCCTGTGAACATGGAGTTTTTTTGTTAATTTGTTGTTATGGACTTCTTTATCACAACCACTGTGTGGTGTTTTACAGGTTTGGATAATATTGGCAAATTTTGGATGACATCTATTTTTTATTAAGATTGCATCTTTTCAACTGACATAAACAGGAGGAGGTTCTCAATTCAACATGGTCATTCAGCTAATTATAAATTGATTTTGTTGAGTCCTTTTTGTTTGGTAGGCCATATATAAATAAATTTTATCGAAATTGACTAAGAGGATTTTGAGGAGATCAACGATAACAAAAATATGTAACAGATAAACACCTCAAATGTATCTGAGATACCATTTACCAATTGGGTGTCACGCTTAGCCAACACTGACACTAAATGTTGATTTAACTTTAGATATAAGTAAATTATTTCCTACTTTTTAGTGGTTTTGTTTTTATGAAGTTGGTTTCTATTTCTGTTAAGAATGTTTATGACATTGTTTTCAAATTTTTTATGCCATTAAAATAAATAAATATAATGTTAGGTGTAAGTTTTCACTGAATTTTACTTTCCATATTTTTAAACTCCCTAGGAATAACAAGCACAACCTCTGACTTACGCAACCCAAAAGAAAGGCTAGCTATATTTGTACTACCTAGCTAAAATAACACTCACAAAATTTATATTTCTATTATTATTATTATCTTTTTATAATAAAAGTAATAGAAATATAAATTATAAGGATTATAAGGAATTCTAAGGAAAACATATCTTAAAGAAATTGTCAGTGTTTCTGTAGTGTTCAATAAAAAACACAAAACTTATAACTTAAATAATTTAATAATTTGGTTCAATTGAAATCATTTCCTATATACAAAATTTTAATTAATTTTGTTATTGATAAATCCTTTTAACCCTATATCAAACAACATTCCTGAACTTTCAGAGGTAGAACATTGATAATGTACAAAATAGCTGTTTTGCAAACTGCTTTTCACAGGTTTTAAAAAAAACTGTAATAAATATTTTGTTTTCAGAATAAATGAAACATGATGATTGGGTAGAATACAAAGATAATTGCCAACAAATGTAATGATTATCTCTTGCTGTCCAAAATTCAGCTACCAGAGTTAAACTTCATCACATTATCATAATATACACTTTATAATACTTCAAGTAGTTATCTCGCATTTAATGTCAAAAAAATATTTGTAAAAATGACAAAACTACAAATCTATCAAACATTAAGTACCGTAACCATATCTACTGCTATGAGTTACAAATTATGTCAATCAGTGATATATTGTTAATGAAAATAAGGTTCATCCATCTTTCCCATCAGAGGTAACCTCAACACAACAATGAATTCTCGATATGAGATGATAATGTAAGATGAGAGCACAGAGGAACGGTACTGATAAAATATGTCACACCAATACTGAACATGTTTTTGCTGGTACAATAACTATGTACTGAAGATTTGCCTTGTATATTTTTAGTTTACTTTATTATTTTTGTCAGAGTACTAAGTGAGTGAGTTACCAACCTGATGGAGAGCTGTAAGGCCGTCCACGTTTGCGGTGTTGATGTCGGCGCCCATCTTCAACAATCGCAGTACCTCGTCCTTGTCTCCTGAAGTGCATGCTGCCAGGAAAATTATCCCAGACGAAAACTGGATTCTCGAAGCGCGCTTCGGTGTCGGTGACTGTTTGTTGGTGTCGGATTCCTCCCATCGCTTGAGTTGCTCGGCCCGTTTGAACAGGGCCGATGACGAACGCGTATCCGTCATTTTATCTCGCGACAAACCACTTGGCACTCAATATGGCTCTTGCGAACACTTTTCACGGGGCATAGATTAAGTTTTTATTGCATACAGTACACAAATACCGAGTCCATAATTTAATTGCCAAAAAAGGAAACATGAAAGAGGAAACTATTCATGGAGATGGTGATTATAATACTTTCATAAGATCATTGTTCGAAACAATAGTTGAAATATTCGGTTTGCACTTACGAACTTTTGATTTTATAAACATGACATAACCAATAAGCTAGGTACACTTTTAGCGTGGCAGCCATTACGAGAATGTACATGAATGTACTCTGTGCTGTGCGGTGGGGCCAACCAAACTATAGTGATGCCATGATATTCGATTGTTAAATATCGATATGGCACCTGGATATAGATTCACTAGAAGAGCCCAAGTAAATGATTGAGGTCTCTTTTGGTGATTAACCAGAAAAATATATTAAGCTTCCATTTAATTTATCAATGGGAATACAAAAATGTTCTTTACGGTTTTAAGTTACAAGTGATATTTTGTGACATAAATACTTAAATCATAATATTGTAACCATTTAACAATAAGTGGTTACAATATTCTTTAAATAGGTACACTTAAACTTAACTGATAATCTGATAAAACTGTCATCAGTCATTAGAAATTACAAAAACATATTTGCAATGACCTGAAACCCTATTCTGTACCCAAGGAACCCCATTACAAAGCTTTTACCACCAGGCTGTATCTCATGAAGCATGATAGTTAGATAATTTAGCTTTTTACAGATAATGTATTTATATTGCCGGTGTTACAACAAATATTAAAAACAGAATATAATAAATATTGAAGGACGCTCCAATACAACAGACGCGACTTTTTGCCGTTTTTTGCTCGAAAGCATAATAAATCGTCAATGTTTTGTAGAAAGGTCGTAAAAGCCGTTTACTGCAACATAGTGTTATAGTAAAACTGACTGATTGAATTAATACGAAAGTGCATACCTTTAGAACCATGAAAAAAACAAAGCGTGTAATGGCGAATATTACATACTTGTTACGAATAAGAGCATTGTTCCATTTTCGCCTTTACAATTTTCATCATCATAAAGTTTTGGGTAAATGGTTTTTTCACTCTGTCAACATAACATTGCCGATATTAGTGTCTAATGTTGTTTAAATAATGATCGGAACCCTTCGTGCAGAAGTCCGGCTTGCACTTGGCCAGTTTTTTATACGAGTCAACTAGCCAATCAGACTACAAGTTGACGCAACGGCAGTGCCACTGCCTTTTGTTCCCAAATGCGGGGATTTAAATTCCCGTAACTATTAATATTGTCGAAATTGGCTCAGTTTGAAACTGAGTAATCAATATCAGTTGACAAAAGTTGTACATATTTTTTTATTCATTTAATCTCAATGAAGTCGAAGCTAGTTAAGTATGTTCAATAAAGACAATATCAACAACTGTCTAGTGCTCTACGGAGAGTTAAAAACCGCAGCCATAGATGCTCACGACAAAGATAAATGATATTGATCGCACAGCTACAAGCACGCCTGGCTATAGTGCGAGTTTAGTCACCTGTTTGTAGCGTAGTAAAGCTGATCACATGGCTAGTATCCCATATAAAGCTCCAAGTCTACTCAGTAAATCAATCAAAGACGATGTAAAAATACATTTAGAAAATAAAATACATTATTGGACGATCATTTTAATATATAAATATGTATTTCTATCATCTACCACAGAATTCACTACTTGGCAATAATTAAACAACGTAAATATTTTACATTATTTCTGAATAATAAAACACCATAAAAAACAGAACATACAAAATAAGCTATATTTTTTATGAACAATATCAGATTGTCAGAAGATTGTTGTAACCATGAAAATATTGATATTGAACTATTGGTAAAACGGATGCATCTCGCGACAACTCATGATCGGATTTTACTTATAAGAACAATAGCACTAGGTTTATAATCATTAGTTTTTTGTCCTCTGTGGTGGTCATATGATGGTGGTGAGTAGCCGCCACCAAGGAGTTTATACCTATAGGGATTGATCACTTCGAATTCCAAATTCGGTCCGAGTCAGAGGCAGGGACGTCTTAATCATATGCGGCGCCCGGGTGCGAAAGGCAACAATGCGACCCCTTTTTCAAAAAAAAATATTTTTGAAGTTATACTTCTTTAGGCGCGTTATGAAAAAATGATGAGAGTGAAATTTTAAGATGCGCGCGCATCACTGTAACACAAAATTTTAACAGCATGAACTTCATGCTGTTACTTTTGTGTTTACCGCACATTAAGAAAATCTACCAACAAAATAGAAATAGAATCTCTATTTAGTGGGTGCTAACGACTGCATTGTGAAGGCCTATCAAAATTATTTATTAATCTGGAACAACGGAACCAAAGCGCGATTCAGGAGACTACAGCGCCATCTCTTGACCATTGGTGTAGTAGAACCAAAAACCACATCTTTATTTTTTGTAATAAAGTAACAGTTATAGGTATTCATATTTATAATATTTATCCACATGTTTCTAGTTTGTATATTCGGAATACGTGTATGAGTTTCATACAAGTGCAAATATGTTCTAATAAATTATATTCAGTAGCGATTTTAATTGAATATTTTGATTATTTATTTATTTTTTCAAATTAAAACTGAACTTTATTGACTGTGTCCTTTTCCAGACTTTTTATTAATTTATTGTAATTAATTATTTGCATGCAATTAAAAACTAATTTTAAACGATGCCAAAGAAGGATAACTTCTCACGCGCCTACATAAGTACACGCACCCATTTTGCATTGTATAGACTGCTACAAAAATATAGAAGTAATAAATCACATAAATAAGCAAGCATACGTATGTACGTGTATTATCGTTGGACAGAGTTTACTAGAAAAACGTAAACAATTATTAAAACTGACTGTATGTACTTAAATTGTAAGTTTTAATTTTGTTTTTAAACATTTATTCAAAGTAATATTTATAAAATTGTAATTGAGTAATGTAAGTAGGTAGGTACGTACTATCTACCACCAGATTCATTTAGATGTTGAACGCCCGGCCTGGCTGGCGCTCACCAGGGCCCGGCGCCCTGGTGCGGTCGCACCCAGCTCTCCCATGGGAAAGACGCCCCTGGTGAGTGGTTTAACCTGTGGAAGTTTGTCTCGTTCTACGTACGATGACCAGTCATACGTCTAATTCAGGGATTTTCCTATTATATATTATTGAAGTTATGGGTGAATGGATGTAGGTATGCAACCTCAGATTAAAGAAAACAAGAGGGCAATGCAAACTGACCTGATATGAATGAATGTTATGTAAGTCTGAAGTTAGAATAGGTGTTCCGGATTTTAACATAGCATAATTTTATCGATATTAATGGAAAAACTTACAGAAATCCAACTAAACCCAAGTAAGCTGAAATCAGGCTCGTGTCACAGTTATTAGTTGGCAATATATTTATCAAATAATATATTAATCACTTATTACATAGAAAATATTCAAGCCTCAGGATCAAATATTCGTGCTCATTGCACACATACGGCATTAAGTCCAGCAGTTGTAAACTATTTTATGCAATAAATAAATATAATTTCTTGATTATAGAATAATTAGGTTGCAGGTAATAATTGATACGAATAAAACAAAATATGTCTTAATAATATATAATTGTTTATTCATTATAATGTTACACAAAAGTTAATAAAAACATATGAGATCATTTTGTACACAAGAATTCAACTGGCAACAAGCGGACCAAGCAAAAGGATTCTATGTTGCTGAATAATATGGTTTAATGCAGTTTTTGGCGCGTAGTCGATTTTGATCTCAAATATATTACGGTATTACATGTTACGTGATGTTTCATTCGCATGTTTAGAAAACCATTTTTAATAGCAATTTCTTTTTCGTGCAAAGCATTACATTCTATTCCTTGTGATAGAGAATATGGAAACATGGTAGAAATTTTGTCAGAAAGATTAGTGATGTTACGATCTTGAATTTTGACAAACCGGATTTGATCGGTTAGTAATACATGCAAATCGGTTTCCGAACCGAACCGCCAAATTTTCAGTAAACCGCGGTTTGAATCGGTTTGAACCGTTTGACGAGATGACGAATGAAACTTACGAAACAACAGGTGCTATTTTTTTTTAATTCTACAATATTTTGTTGATATTACATCGTGCAAATATTTAAAGGTAATTGAAAAATAACAAATAAAATATGAAAACAAATAATAATAATCAGAATTAAAAATGTCAAAATAAAAATAAACAAATATCTATGTAATACCGTGTTTAAAAAATTACAAAAAAAATATATAAACTCTATTAATTACATAAAACCGTACTTCTTAACTTTGAGAATAAAATACAATTTTAATAATCAATAATATAATAAATACGTAATTTATTTTTGTAAAATCATTTGAGTCGTAGAAACTTAATTTGGTACAAACAACTTAATTAAAAGTTTTCTTACAACTATTTAGGAATAATATTTGGTCTATTTTTTTAGAAGCTGGGCAATTACGTCGCATATTACATAATAATGAAAACAAAATTACACCGTCAAGTCAGTCAAATCTACCAGTGTCCGTTTCATTTTGGTGCGGTCGGTAAGTCGGTTATGGCTGTTGTATTTAAATTGACGATGCACGCTAACCGTATCCGCTGCTGTAAGTCGGTTCGTATTGGTCGGTCAAGTTTTATTAGGGTCGGTAAAGCACGTCAGGAGCCGCACGCGATTTGTGGATGGCGGTATAAACAAGAATTGACAGGCGCGTATGCGCGCAGCTCGATACGAACGAATGCCACGGTAGAACCGGTTTACGAAGACGTTAACCGATTCAACTCGGTCCATGCTCATACCGGTTTGAAAAGTCGAGTCGTTACATCTCTAAGAAAGATATGCTAGAATTACATTCATAAGACGTATTTTATTATTATCTTTCGACGTCGTGAAATCAACTTGTTGGAAACACTTTTCCACATATTTTACCATATTAATACCATATTTTTCAAAAATATCCAAAACCGCAACAAATAGACAACTAATACCAAGCTTTAATCGCTATAATCAGGCCACCGCGTGGACACCGCATTCACACCTACTCACACAACACACCATTTTGAGACCGTCAGTCTCACATACGGTCTCTGTGTTGCCATTTTATAATACCCATAAGTTAAGGGTAAAAGTGTTAGTTCCAGCATCAAGGAATGAACGTGATATCTAAAAAAATTTGTCTGTATTCTAATGCCAGCCAAAAAATACCGACCATGTTTGGTGTATTAAACAATTTTCTATATTTAGGT